AAGTGCAATGGTTGCCTGAGGGCGGCCGCCAGATCCCTACCATCACGACGTTGGGGAACGGAGATGCACTGTCGTGCGCGAGGTGGATGCTGTTGCCTCTGCGGTTGCATCGTTGACCCCACGCCACCGCCTCCGCATCTCACCCATCTCCTGCCTCGGTGAATAATGGATGAGGCTAGCTTGCTCAAATGGATAAGGCCACCTTCTTCCTGGGTTTTTTTGAGAGGTGGTCGTTGGGCTAGCGCGGGCAGCCCACCATCAGGAGCGTCCGGCGTGGACGGACGCCCTATGCCAAGAATTATCGTTTTTTCTTTGGGAATTGGTCCGTTCCTACAGCTAGTAGATCAGTCTCAGTGGAGTTTTGTGTCTCAATTTCCAACACGAAAACAATGTGGACTGACTTCTTCTCCGGCTGATGAAATTCATTTTACTTTCATGAAACTTTGATCATCTTTCTTCATTAATATTGTATCATGTCAGCATATTTGTTGAGTTAATAGCTTTTTTATATAAAATAATTATGAAACCTCCATTGAGACTAGCAAATACCAACACAACAAAGTTAAAGTAGATATTGGTGTAGGGATACTGAAATTCCTGCTGCTAAAACACCTTAAACTACTACTGACGGCAAGCAGGTACATTTTTCAACGTCCAAGTTGCACTTCAATCTGATTTTCAACCCTGAACCATGGAACCAGAGGGCCCTTACTGTTGAAACCTAGCAAATTTTGTCCTATAGCTGGTTTCAATGGTGGTATTTCTATTTCCTAAAAATGATAAAATTCTGGTTTGATCTCTTAAAATTCATAATTTATTTTACATTAGAAAAATACGAAGTAGTACCAATTTTCTTCTAAAAATATTATCTATTTTTTGGTGCTCCATTTTAGAGTTGTTTAGATTTTATTTGTTTTAAACAAATAATGAGCACAAATGCACAACTACAAGCAATAAAGCAATAGGAACATAAATAAGTGTGTTCCAAATAAATATATATAGATCATAAACATGTAGGTAACACTTTTAGAAAAAATAGATACTACTTCCTTATTTTTCTGAGTTAAAATAATTTGTTTCTAATTTTTTATATACTAAACTAGATTTTCATTGTTTTTATGAAATAGGAACCCACCTTTGAACCAAAAATTGGACCAAATTTGTCTAGTTTTGACGGTTGGAGGTTCAAACATCTAATATGCCTAAAGTAGATTTTTTACTATAACAAACATCATAGTCACAACCTACCAAACTCTGTTCCAAGCGAAAATTCCCAAAATGTGTTGGTTGGAAGTATCGGAGTGTCGTTGTTTTGTAAACCGGACTAGTAAACTTATACGATTGCCACACTGTTCTAGGAAGACGATGCTAGCATCCAATAGACAAGAGGATTTATATTGGTTCAGACCAGAGCCCTACGTCCAGTCTCAGAGATGATCGAGTACGTGTTCCTCGCTTGAATGCTCTAAAGTTCTTACAATGCGGGGTGCAAGAAAGGTGAAAGAGATAGAAGGACCTATGCTAGGCGAAGGGCTGCCCAAAGAGAAGCTCTAGGGGCCCTACTACAATAGTGAATAAATAGAATGGTAGATGATGTGAATCGTCCCCCGAGATGGGTGCCCTGGCTGCCCTTATATAGAGTTCGGGGCCAGGGCTTGTACAAAGAGAAGGTTCTTCCGACCGAAGGGTCAAGAGCCTGAGGGAGGACCTAACTCACTTGGCTTGCAAGCTACACCATCTTCTGGCGCACGTCCGATCGTGGCTATCGTCATGGTCTTCTGGCCATGTTGCAGCAAGATGTGACATGGCGCTACCGTGCCGGCCGTGGCGGCACTGTAGCCTCGATGGCGGTTCATCAACTGTCCTTTGCAACGCGGTGTCCATCGTGGCCTTTGTCATCGTCTCCTGGTTCCTAGGGGTGTCGTACCCAAAGTAGGTAGCTGCCCTAGGTCATCGATCGCTTGGTCGCTTTGCGGGGCCGAGGGCCACGACCCCGATCATCGAGGTCGGGGCACTCTGCCGGTCTGGATGGCCTTTTCATCGAGCCCCTTGTCATGGATCCCCATCCCGTAGCGGGTAGGATCATACAAGCATCTAGTCGGTCTGTATGTGGACGGTGGGTGTCGTACCCGTTGCCACCGCGGTGCAGTGTTGTCTTATCGGTGTGGCATGGCACAGGGATGGTGTCTGACCGGGCCGAGGTGACCGCTGTCCCATCGGTCCTTGCGGGGTCAGTGCGGCATGCTTGCTCTTGTCAGAGTAGGCGCGCCTAGCTGTGCTCGACCTCCCCCCATCCCTTCTGAGGGTTGTGACGGGGAGAGGTCATGCGTCTTGCGAGTGTCGTGTACTAAGGCAGGTGGAAGAGGTCGGGGATGACCCCAGCCTTGGCGGCTGGCCCACTCTGCTCGGTTTTCACTGGGCCTCGATCGTTCGGGCCTTCGTTAGCTGCTGTATTATGGGCCGCGCAACTTGCTAACTAATCAGTGCCTTGGGACACCCCGGGGTTATAACCCCGACACGGAGCATGCCAAATGTCAAATTCTCCACTTGGCTACTACCTCAGTCCTAAAAAGTATACAATTAGATTTGTCCTAAGTAAAACTATTTAACTATGTTTGTAAGAAACTGAAGATTGTTAGCATTTATGAGACCTTATAAATATATTATAAAAATATGTTCCATGATGAATTTAATAATACATAATTGGTAAAATAAATGTAGTTTTCTTAATAAATTTAACATAATTCGACTCGAGATAAAACTACAATATCAAGTTCTTTTGTGTGATAGGTGTGTGAAGGTACTTGTTTAGTGGTGGTGGTGGTGTGTATGTGTGTGTGAGGGGGGGGGGAGGGGTTGAGAGGTTTGTTACTATGCTCTAAATTTGATAAAAAAACCATCGTACTTGCTAGACTTTTCCACTTCACCCTACTTATGTCTCTTGGATCATGAAATTCAACAAATAGCTCATCAAAATTTCATAAAGCCATGGACTTCAATGATTTATGCAACTTATATGGTGGACTCTTTCAAATGGAAGAAACTAATCAAGAACTTTTAAGACCAAATCAAACCATAGTTGCTGCCAAAGGTCGCCCTAGCAATTATTGATGAATTTAGACAATGGCTTGACCGTTTGAAACTAAAACCTTAAGATGCACCAGAGTCCTTTGTTGCCTCTACTAGATTTTCCCAATCTTTTTCCCATTTGCCATCTCCCTTTGTTGCTCTATCTTTACCCTATTCATTCTAAATTATTGTTCACTTGGCTTATCCTAAGCCAAACTTCTCTAATTTTAATCAAGTTTATACAAAAATGTTATCAACAATAAAGTTTTTATATCTTGAGAAGGGCTACCGTTTCACATAAAATTTGTTCTCCATATAACTTATCTTAGATGTTAATAATTTCCTTTGATAAGTTGCAAACTTATAAATTATTGTATGTATATATTTTGTTGATGGTTTATACGATAGAATTGACTGTAAACATCACTTTTTAATGATTGTCTGTAGAATAGAACCCAAATCATCAACATGTATGAACTCATTGTGGAGATGCTTGAATTAGTATTGTTGGTTGCAAGCCTGAGTCGTTATTGTGATGGCTCTAGAGGAGCACTAGACAGTGCTTTTACATTTGCAATGGTACTTAAGGCAAAACCGCCTGTCATATATATTTTTTAATCAATTGTACATGCTAGATATAATTGTGCAATAAACCATGCTTTACATTTGACATGGTACTTACAGAGCAAAACCGAATGTGTTACTTATTTTGAATCGACTGTGTACCACTACTACAGAAAATCTTTTACACAGCGTTTCACTTTGGGCCTCGGAGACAGGCGGGCCGGCTGTCCACCTCGGTTAACCCTTTTTGCCTACCACGGTTAAGATTTCTGTAGTAGTATACATGTGAGTTTTGTACTAATGCATATAATTCTCAAATAAGGTATTAATTAGACAAACATATATGTGGAGAGTTGGATATTGGAATTATTGTGCTTACATATTTAACAAGATCAATCAAAGGACAATACAGTTGTACGTATCCAGTTACTGGTTGAGTTGTAATTATAAGATACTAATTAAATTACTAAGAAAGACTGTTAGATCACAATTTACTGGAACAGCTTGCAGGCAGATGAAAAATCCCATGTTTCTCTCCAAGTGTACAGTCACACAATCAATAATATAGTCAGAACTCCTAGCAAAAATCCATTGATTTGTTACAAACCAGAAGGAGCAAAAATCCACATGGTAAGTGCCATAATCATGCAGGCAATGGAAAGACACCATTTCTTCATATAACTTTTTTTCACTATGTTTTGTTGCATAACTGATTTTCAGGTACCTTTTATTTATATAACTTTTATTTTTAATTTCTTTAGATGTTGCCCAACCAATTTCCTGCATGCACACATCCTCTTGGTTTATGTCCAACTCAATATCCCGTAGTTTGAGAAACACATTTGGCTAAAAATATTTTATAATAGCTTATGTCACTAGTAAGATTTTATCTTTTGTACATTGAAATCATCAAGGGCATCAACATTGTAGAGATCTAAAAAAGGTAATGTATTTATACCAAAAGACTATTTATTTTTCAACTGGAAGCAAGGAAAACAAGTAAAATAGCACATGACAAACGCAACCACAGTTCCCCCCCAAGAATCTAGGCAAAAATAGCCAAATGATAGAACCCCCATTTTTAGTCTCCCTAAATTCTCCAAGAAATATATGTGCAAACCAGACCTCAAAGTCCTCCGATTTCCACTCTCTTCCCCACCCCGACCTCAAAAACACCAACCCCCGCCCTCTCCGCCCCGCGAGCGCCACCACCATTCCGTCCGCAAGAATAAGGAAGAGAGCTGCAGGGAGAGCTCCCCTCCACCGGCTTCCCCGCGCCTCCTCCCAGCGATCGCGCCTCCTCCCGGGCGTCGCAGCGGCGGTCGGGTCGCCGGGTTCGGCGCTGGTCCTGGTCCGGGCCCTCCCCCATGGCGTCGCCGGAGCAGGAGGCGGCGGTCGCCGCGGCCGTCGTGGAGGACGTGATGCGGCAGCAGGGCGGAGGATGCGGCGGCTCAGGAGGAGGAGGAGATACGGTTGGGTCCTGGAGGAACCTCGACATTGCCTGGCGCAAGTCGGAGGAAGCTGGTGAGTCGCGGTGTACTTCTCTTGGTCATCTTTTTGTTTCGAAGGAAATTTGCATCTTTTAATGGTAAGTAAGTATTCGATTTGAGTTAAGGCTATTGTGTACATGGTAGGCTGAAATTTTCTTTCTTTTTTTGTGATTCAGTCATGATCTTTTCTTTTAGTTTTGTTTGGGATAGAAGCTTAGATTATTCTCAGAGTGCATTCATAATAGCTGCAATACAATTTCTAACAGAAGTCCTTAACTCATTTTTATAGCTAGCTGGCTTCCTATATGATTACTCTCTCTTAGGCATTCATAACGCTAGATTTAGCTGCAATGATTCCTTCTTCTTTGCTATGCGCCTTTGTTCCTTGTCACTCCTTGCTTGCTCTTGAGTTGACCATATAAAACAGGGCAATGGCCAACAACCTAATTGTAGTTTATAGGTAGTTACTTTTATGATCGTCGTGGTTGTCATGACAAAGAGGTGGCATTAATAAGGGTGGACCTCCAAACCTGGCTGCATATATAGAATACCATTGTTTTTTGTTTAAGAATGTGATGACTGCTGATCCACTATTCCACTTAGGTTGTAAACAACAACGCCATTCTTGTAATCGAGTTCTTTTTTGAAGGAAGTAATCGAGTTCTTTACATACTGTCATTAGGCTTCTAGCCCATATTTACACTTAAGTGATATAGCACTTGTTTAAAATAATGGTATGGTCTATTTTTTGTATCTTTGGATGTAAAAACACCTATTGCCATTTGTTGTTAGCAACTTAGCATAAATCGGGGCCATTTGAATTGGTGCTTCCTTTGGTTTGAGAAATGCAGCAATAAGAAGGTATGAGGCAGCCAACTGGTTGCGAAGGATAGTTGGGGGGTAGTGTGTGCGAAGGACCTTGCAGAAGAGCCTTCGAGGAGGAATTCCGTGTTGGCCTGAGAAATGGCATTATTCTCTGCAATGCACTCAATAAGATTCAACCTGGTGCGGTACCCAAGGTTGCATTTCTCTCCTTCAGATCTGTAGTATTTCATTTTCTGCTGTGATTTTGCATGCTAAGTATGATGCTTTTAGGTTGTGGAGGTGCCATCGGATTCTACTGTCCCTGCCGATGGTACAGCTCTGTGTGCATATCAGTACTTTGAGAATGTGAGGAATTTCCTCATTGGCCTGCAAGATTTAGGTCTTCCAACATTTGAGGCATCAGACCTGGAAAAGGTTACACTATTGCCTGGTTTATTTACTTTTACTTTGAATGATCGACAAGTTTTTATTAACTCCACAATTTTGGTACTATTTAGTGGATTACTCCCTGATTAATAAGGAGTGCTGCTGTAAAAATACTATTAACTAATTTTATTTATATTAGCCATCCCAATTTTATATTTTCACTTGCCATCAACCTCAGGGTGGACAAGGTGTTCGAGTTGTAGACTGTGTTCTTGCTCTGAAGTTATTTTGTGATGCTAAGCAAGTGGGAAAACAATCTCCATTCAAATATGGTGGCATTGTAAAGCCTTTGTCTGCAAAGTATGCCATTCGCAAGAATAATGAACCTTTTATGAAGGTGATGATAAGGAGTCACTCAGCTGAATTACTTCGAGATGGCATATCACTGGAGCAAATAGGTCTTGATTTTCTCTAGAACCCACTGAAACAGTAAGAATCCATCACCCAGTTCTTCTTTCACATTACTTAACTCTCTTTTTAATTTGTGGTGATACTCATCTTCTTGGCTGTAGACTACTCCAGACTCCATCCGGATGCTTGTTCAAACAGTTCTCTCAGATAAGAAACCAGAAGAAATTCCTTCAGTGAGCCTACTGTGTAGCTAGCTGTTTATGCAATGTGGTTGAGAGAATAAATATTCATACTGAATCTGTAAATTTTCAGGTTGTAGAATCACTCTTGAGCAAAGTAATTAATGAATTTGAGCGCCGTATTGCAAGCCAGAGTGAATTGGTATATTCACTTCTTTTACCAACCTCTCAATTCTTGCTGCGTTTTGAGTTTTGACTTAACCAACCATATGCACAGTTGGAATAATAGAGACTATGGAACAGGTGAAAGACACTACGGATACAAATGACCGTAACTCAGTTTTGAGAATTGACTCTCCCTTTGACACCAATGTCAGTAAGTCATTATCCAGAGTGGACTCTACACAAGTGGAGTCTACTTCCCCCAGTGATCTGGAAGAGGTATCCACATTTTGTGAATACAGCAATAACTGAATGTTCTTAATTTGGTACAATACTACAATTAAGTATTTGCTACTCCCTCTGTCCAAAAATGTAATATATTTTATTTTCTCCCTAGACAAACATCTCTAACTTTGACCAAATTTACAGAAAATACATTAATATCTAGAATACCACATAAATACAACATTTTATGATGATCAATTAATGGAACTAATTTGATATGTAGATGTCGGTGTATTTTTCTATATATTTGGCCAAAGCTAAATAAGTTTGATTCAAGACAAAACTATCATTTTTTTTGAGTCACCGGAGGAGGGGGAGGGGGGGAATTCCCCACCTGAATATATTGCATTGGAGAGGTAATGTAGATTACCGCTCAAGAAGATACAACAGAGAATGCACACTTACACCACACCACCACCAACAACGCACACGGGACACAGAGAGGAGGACAACCACAGAACAAAGAACTCCCATGCAGCAGCAACGCCCCGACGCCTCCACCATGCTGTCACCGCTGTCGCCGGCACAGGCATGGCCAACGCCTTCAATCTATCCACCCGGTGCTCTACCCTCCCTGTCAAGGGGCAGAGTAGGCTCTCAGTGGCAGCAGATGGCCAGAGAGAGCAGCACAGAGGAGATGGCCAAACCGCACGCACCGCAGCACTGCTGGACCCTGCATACAAACGCGAACAGGCACACGGCCCCGCCGCCGGCTCGCCCGCTGCCAAACTGCGCGCCCACAATGCTACCGGAGCCCATCACACGCACCTAATGGACATCACCAGATCCGGCCAAGTGGCCTCTGGATCCTGCGACACTGCACCGGATCGAAGGCCGGACGCCAAGAACGAGCCGCCGCAGGCAACCACCATGTCCACGGGAGGGAGGGGCTGGAACACTAACTGGGGGGTGGCGGCAGGCACCAGGTACCTGCCGGCCCGGCCGTGGCCAGCTGCCACGCGACCAGGCTGGTCACCAGACGCGGGCGGCCCTAGCAGGTCACCGCCGCCCCGCTCGGAGTCCCGGCCAGCTGCTGCCCTGGAGCGCGCGGGCAGGCGCGCGCCCAAAGCAGGCAAGGCCCGGCAAGATCCGGCCGTGACCGCGGCCGTCGCCGGGGCCGGTAGATCCGCGGCGCAAGGGGCCCGCGCGGTGGAGAACGCCAGATCTGGCCCCGGGAGGCCCAGCTTCGCCCCCACCGGCCAGCCACGACGAGTACCGGCGTTCAAGGAGTATTATAGAACTATTCATCCAAACATGTGAAAATTATTAATTTTTCATTCTGGCTGAAATTGGTCCATGCACTAATATTTGTCATTAGGCCACTGAAAATATTAAGATGGACGAAGTTGAGAAGAATGCGTCAAGTCTGACGGAAGATGTAAGTACATTAGTACCTGCACCACTAAGCAATGATAATGTCAACAAACATATGCCAAAGCCAGTGAGAAATTTTGATCGAGAACAGAAACACATCCAGGTATTTCAAATGGTTTGTGTTCTTCAGTGAATTTAGTTGTATTTTCCACTATCAATCAGTGACTATTGAGACTGACTGTAGGATTTGAAAAGTAACATGTCCACTGTTAAGTCTTGCATGGAGCAGTTAAAACTGCTGTACTCTGAAGACCTTAAAAAGCTTGGTATATTGCGTGCTGAACTTTGGACATCTGTAACCATTAAACATTTTTCTTCCAAAGTTTTGGTGTTCATCATCATATTGTGTTATATTAGGTGATCATTTGCGTATTGTTTCTCATGCGGCTTCTGGATACCGTAAGGTTGTTGAGGAAAACCGCAAGCTTTACAACCAAATACAAGACCTTAGAGGTATAATTTTTTCAGTCTTATGTACTAGAAACATGAGGACTATATACTTATGTTTCATGATTTAATGCGACGTGCATGCTGAAAAATCTCTTTTCTTCTTTGTCACAAGGAAATATCAGAGTTTACTGTCGAGTGAGACCTTTCCTTCCTGGAAAAGTAAGTTCCTCGAGCAGTGTTGCTGGAATAGAAGACAGAACCATCACACTTATGGTACCATCAAAATATGGAAAAGATGCAAAGAAGTCTTTTACTTTCAACAGTGTCTTTGGGCCTCTGGCCACACAAGGTTAAATTCACAAGTTGCTCCACTGAATTATTTGTTTGAAATTAGACCTTTTTTTAGTTAAGTGACAAAATCTTTCAATTAGTGCAGAGGAGGTCTTTACAGACATGCAACCTTTGGTCCGTTCTGTTCTTGATGGCTTCAATGTTTGTATATTTGCATATGGTCAAACTGGATCGGGAAAGACCTTTACAATGGTGCTTGACCTGTCAACTATGTTACTTTTTACACGAGTATTGATACTTTTTGCAATATGAAAACATTGTTTTCTGGCTGCTGCAGAGTGGTCCCAAAATTTTGACAGAAGAAGGGCTCGGTGTCAACTACAGAGCACTAAATGATCTATTCAATATCCAGGAGCAGAGGAAAGATACAATTTGTTACGAAATTGCTGTACAGATGATGGAGGTCTACAACGAGCAAGTGAGAGATCTCCTTCAGAATGGTGGAAACAAAAAATATCCTTTCGTACTGAGCCTTTTTTTCTGAAAGCAATTTCGTACTGAGCTTGATATTAATCCTGCTTTTAGATATCTTAACTTTTTTTTGCATATATTGAACATCTATTTTATTTATGATATTGGACCTCCTTAACGACAAGAAACATTGGAAATTCGAAATAATTCTCAGAAAGGAATTGCAGTTCCAGATGCAAATGTGGTTCCAGTCACATCGACCTCTGATGTAATTGACTTGATGAATCTTGGCCAAAGAATCGTGCAGTTTGCTCAACTGCCATGAATGACCGAAGTAGTCGCTCCCATAGGTTTGTTTGTTGCTTTTTACATTAGTGCCTCCAGTTCCAGGCATGATGTTGAACTTGGTGTTTTTAGCTGATGTTTGAGTAAACCGATTACAGCTGTCTGACTGTTCATGTTCAAGGACGAGATTTAACATCTGGAACAGTCCTAAGAGGTTGCATGCATCTTGTGGATCTAGCTGGCAGTGAAAGAGTTGATAAATCTGAAGTGGTAGGAGATAGATTAAAGGAGGCAGCGCACATAAACAAGTCACTGGCTGCACTAGGTGATGTGATTGCAGCCCTAGCCCAGAAAAAAAGCACACATGTTCCTTACAGAAATAGCAAACTTACTCAACTATTACAAGACTCTCTTGGTAACTATCCAAAGCTCCATATCCTTGGTTTGCAACTTGTCGGCACCAAAAAAAATGTGTTGTAAGTATTTTGTTTCCATTTTTCAGGAGGACAAGCGAAAACATTGATGTTTATTCACATAGCTCCAGAACCAGATGCTGTTAGTGAGTCCATAAGTACTTTGAAGTTTGCCGAGCGTGTTGCCACTATTGAGCTTGGAGCAGCCAAGTCAAACAAGGAAGGAGGAGAAGTCAGAGAGCTCAAAGAACAGGTTCGTCTATATGAACTCTGCTTCATGGCTTTCTTGAGTTCACAGGGCTTGTGACCAATATATTCTATGAAATTGTGCCTCATTACTTTCTTACTACAGATTGCTTGCCTCAGGGCAGCATTAGCTAGGAAAGATGGAGATCATGAGAGCATACGAAGCACTCAATCAAGCCCAGACATATATAGAATGAGAACGGGTAATGCATCACCTGCATCGAGGCACCCAATAGAAGATGGAAGTATAGAGGTATTCCTTCTTTTTTTTAGTCAAAATTTATGATATGGTCTTTTCCTTGGTCACAATTTGAATTGATCCATATTCATGGCTTGATACTTGTAATGGTGCTCAGAACGACTCAGCATTGGGAGATTTGGCTGAGCACTCACAGTTCGGGAGCAGCAATTCCCTGTCAGAGTTGGGACCTGATGGCACACAAGATCTAGCCTTCTACCAAAGAAGCAGCCCTGAACAGCAATGGAGCTGGTCTGGGTCTGTTGCAACAGAGGATTCCGATGATTTCGAGGTTGCAACTAATTGCTCGTCAGAGCTAGATTGTGTGAGACCATCTAGTGCCCCAAAAGCTTCAGGTTTAACAAATGGAGGGGGCTCAGCTGCAAGAAAGACCCAACTCAAAGGTGCAAAAAGTTCAGACCTTAGGTAATCATCTACTCTAATTTATATCTTTAAATTATGCTAGAAGGTAACTAGCAAATGCTAAGATCAACTATTCTGAACTATGCGGTTTTCTTTTTAATTACTTTAGAGTGAATCCTGCAAAAAGGTCATCGCCATTACAGAAAAAGCTGAGTGCACCCTCACCAACGCTAATCAAGAAGAGCGGTGCTGAAGGAAAGAAAACTCCAAATGGTAAAACAGGAACCAAGAAGTAAGCAATCCAGATGAAACTTGGTTTTGTTGTGACCAACTTCACCATGGTCAGGGACAGATAAACATGTTGATCCTACTGGGTGATACATTGATGTTTGACAGATGAATATGTCAGTCCTTTTGAGAGAGGTTGCTGGATCTTCAGCCATATGCTGTAAATCACTCGTTCATTTTTGTTGTAGTACACATAGAAAAGGCCAGAAAAACCTCGAGATTGGGAAGACAATCATGACCACAAGGATATTTTAACCTTCTTCCTAATGTGCATATCTATCATAGTTTAGTAAATTTTGATATGATGTATTCATGAGTCATGTCCAACCCTGTGATTGGTTGCTTGTAAATTTTTGTGGTCTTATTTTTGGTTTACACAACCACAAATAATATGTTAATAACAAGCCAAAAGAATGAAGATGCTAAGCATACATGACTTCACAAAAGAGGATAATCCATTGTGGGCGCAGCGGACGGTATCAATGGAACAAACGGGAGCTAAAAGTTTAACACCCAAATGTAAACGGATCAACAAAATTAGGAACTTTTGGAGATTTCTTTGAAAGTTTTGAATGCTCAGAAGTTTGGTTCGGAACTTCCCGACCAAACTTTGAAAGTTAGAATTTGCACAGACCATGAACTCGAAAGACACATATTCAGAGTCGTTTCTTGACATTTTGAGCCGAAGTTTAGCATGTGACTTATACACAAAGCACTTGCAATAACTAGCTAGACAATCTTTCAATTTCCATCACTAAATCATCAACATATCAAATAACACATATGCCTCACATGTCAACACAACAATATGCCATCTAACATGAGCAAACTCATTCAATCTTCAACAAGTGGCGCCAATACCATGCATGATGGAAAATCAATCAACTCATATGGCAAGAGGAATATTGAATCACAACTACACAAAATCTACATTGAATCCCGCCCCTTGCGGGGGCGGGCGGAGACAAGCTAGCAATCCACTAGAAGATGAAGATACAAGAGGTGGGAGCCAACAAGGTTGGTGGAGGCTCCAAATCCCCACAAATTTCTCCCTCTAGTGGATGGATTTAGTATACCAAAGCCACACCCTCTCAAATTTCCTCCCTCTCTCAACCCGAAAACAGGGGGAAACAAGCCACACCATGAGAAGGGGAGCTTGGGCTCCCCATTTGGGCTGGTTTGCCCACCTTGCAAAAGGTAACTCAAATTTGAAGAATATTACAAATGACCCCTAGACACCTATGTCACACCCCAAAATTTCTATTTTGGGTTGTGAATAGTTTGCACTAAATAAAGTTAATGTTTTTATGATTTTTCTAAAATTTCCAAGATTAATTAGGCTTTTAGTAATTTAAAAAGTGCAAAATGTGAAATTTTAAATAACTTTTTTATAATTTACATTGAAAAGGTGTTGCATTCATGCTGGTTGCATTTGGTGTTTATGAGTGCAAATGGTTTCAAAATACGTTAGAGCGACGTTTCATTCTCTCAGGGAATTTTCCAACCTTTTCTGGAATTTAATTCCTTTTTCCTTGACCTTAATCTTTTTCTCTGATTATCTCAACCATCTTTTCATGAGCTCAAACTCGTTTAGTTGAGTTCCTTATCTTTCAACCTATCTCCAGAATTTTTCTGGTGATTTTTCTGAGCTTCGAGCTATTTTTCAAGGCTTAAATACTAATTCTAGATTTTCTAAAATTATTTTAATTCGCTAAATTCATTTTTATCCAAAAACCTTAATTTTCCACCAACCCAAACCTGGCATATAAGGCCTTGTTTAGTTCTCCCATAAAGTTTTGTCTCCATCACATTGTATGTTTGGACACATGCATGGTGTATGTCTAAACAGTGTTCTTAGGCAAGTGTCCTTGACCATACTTGCTCCTATATTTTTGTTTTACTTTGAGTTAGAGTAGTTAGACCATTAGTTTGTATGCAGAATCTAAATTCGAATCCCATGTTAGGGTTGACTAGAACTTGTTATATCATCCTTGAAACCTGGTTTGGATGGGTAGGAGTCATGCTTAGCCTTGCTGTCATGGATGGTTGGGTTGGTTATAATGTAAACCTGATTAATTGACTATGCACATGGATCTGGGGTTGGTAACCTCGGTAACCTCTTTTAGTAGCAACAATGGTAAATAGGGAATTTGAGCAGGATGGAAGGTTTGGTATGATGGTATTTGGTTTTGATATATATTGTGTTTCAAGGGCTGGTGCTCGTACCTGCTTGGATTCTAAGGACCGGTTCATGGACAAGTAACCCGGCTTAACAACGCAGCCACGATGTCTATATGGTACGACTTGGCTAACTAATTAGCTGCCCGTTTCTGTGCATTGTGGAGAGTTTGGTGGCACAAGAGGGGGCCTAAATCGGCGAATCCTTAGTGAATGCACAGGGGTGGGACACAACAGCTTTATAAAGGCCTTGTAGTGTCACCCCGCTAAGCACCTAAGTAATGTGAAGCGTGATGGGGAAAACACGACTCGTGGTGAAAGTGTATAACCTCTGTAGAGTGTAAAACTAATATATTAGTCGTGCTCACGGACAAGAGCGGCCTTGACTTTTCTTGATTAGATGGCTCTGGTTCGGATGGTTGGGTGATTCCCTTGGGTTGTGTTTAGTTGGCGATTTTTTTTTGGAAATGGTACTGTAGCACTTTCGTTGTTATTTGGCAATTAGTGTCCAATCATAATCTAATTAGGCTTAAAAGATTCGTCTCGTGAATTTTGTCTAAATTGTGTAATTAGTTTTATTTTTTATTTATATTTAATGCTTCATGCATGCGTCCAAAGATTCGATGTGACGGGGAATGTTGAAAAATTTTGCAAAATTTTGGGAACTAAACAACACCTTGGTAAGGGAATGGGTGGATGGTTTTGGGAGCTTGGATGGAATCCAAGTGTGGTGCTCGGATGGGATCCGAGTGTTGGTTCAGTTGGTTCTCTGAGGAGAAGGCAGAATTTCACTTAATAATTAGGTGCTAAGGATCCAAGGTGATATAGGATGTGTCAGTTAGGTGCTCGAGTCAAACCCCGTCAGCCTTTCCTTGTGTTGGCCCTCATGTCATATTTTCTTACACTTATGGAGTACATTTCGATGTACTCACCCTTTTCTTTGTCCCCCTTGCTACCCCACCTAGCTGTTCGGACGAGGAGATGGAGCTTGAGACAGTGTCGGTGCATGGAGTTTCCTGAAGACGGTGTCGATGCTAGGCTAGTGTACCCCCGGTCGGCTGCCTGCGGGTATGGAGACCCTGCTCTACTAGAACTTTGATCTAATTTTGGATTTAGACCCTTTGGTCATTTTTCTAATAATGTTATGCTTTTGTAATAAACACTGCTTTGTATCACTATTTGTCATCGCATGTATGAATAAACAGATCCTGACATACATGTGATGTGCATTCAGTTTTGTTTTATAAAACCGGGTGTGACAACCTAACAAAATATATAAGCATCATTTTGCATATATTGTAATTGCTCAAATCAACCTCAAATAGTGTCATTTAAAGACATCACAATTATTCAACTCAGCGATGACTGAACCATAGAGTAAACAAATATTCTAGATGTCGAAAGTCCAATATTCAAATCATTCATCTTCAAATGAACAATCAACAAGTGCAAATTCGTCACCTGCAACATGTAGGTAGCTTGGTTTGACATGGAAAACAGTTGAGCTACAAACAAGTGCATCAATGAACTCTTACGAATGAAATATATGGCCAACACACCCATGACCTTGATGCCAAATGCACAATCTCCAACTCCAAGTCAAATGCATAAACAAAACCTCCAATAAATGTTTCACATGAAGCCGCCAAATCGAGTAGGCAAGGCAAAAGGGAAGTCTCAAGCACATATTAACAAATTAGATGAACAAAACTGAGTCTTCAATAAATTCTAGCCCTAGGAAATGTCGATAGATGTGCAATTGACCTTCTAAACCAAATCTAAACAAATTCCTTGATCACCAAAGGATATGCCAAGAACAGTGAATGCAAATCCATACTTTCCAAATGTACCCCACCTAAAACATATAACTTCGCCACCAACACTCACTAAATGAGCAACTTGCACATGTGAACACCAATGTGTGCACCAAGCCACTGAATAATGAAAGAAACGACATTTACAACTTCTCTTGCAAGAACAACTATCTTAGTGAAAGGAACTATCAAATGTGTATCCAATAGAGTACCAACAAATTCTACACAAGATCTCACACAAGAAAGGGAAACCACATTATACTGACATCCACAATACCAAACGTTGACCTCAATTAGACTTAATGATCCATGCAGAGAACAAACTCCAAGCTACACCGGGTGCCAAGCCTATGGTGTGTCCACTAAGTTTGGACCTCGGATTTTGCTTAGGTTTCAGATCGAGTCTTCTCCTATTTTGTCACCATTCTCTCGCTCACGACTTCTCCTATTCACGCCGCCATGGCCAACTACTACCCAGACCATGACCTAAGACTACCCATAACGTAGCGATGCCGAAAAAACTTTCGTTGTGCCACATCTACCAATGCCAAGACGTATTATATGCTCAGAGTGTCGGCATCGGTGCCTGCCAGAGTATGTGGACCCCAACTCCGGCGTTGATGGCGAGGTGAAACGAAGGAGGGCGGTCTTGGTCTCGAACCAACAGTGCAAAAAACACTTCTTTATTCTCTAAGCACCGGGAAGGAAGATGACTCGGGTAGGATGTTTTTGGTTTCAAGATCGCCCTTCACAGCGTGTCTACCGGTGCGGACGTTCTCTCTCCTCTTTCAAAGATCGCAGAAAAAACATACGTTGTGGCTAGTCTAAGAATCTTCCTGCCCTCTCGGCAGACATGCCGGTAACATCACCCGCCTACTAGTGCCTACTACCCCGTGTTAGAAATAATCCATGAGCACTATTTAGTCTAGTGTGTTACATGATGGCATGCAATGGTTGAGTGAAAGTGGAGTAGTGGTGTATGGTTGAGACCTGAGTCTAGAGTTGGAGTAGTGGTG